GGCAGTGGCCTCCCCTCTCTGAGTTTCCATGTCTCCTTTTGAGGATGGAGAGGCCACACACCCCTCCCCCGTGGGAGCCACCTGCCCTCTATAGTCCAGGGGAGTGGCAGGGACCACTCACTGGCTGTCCGTGGGCAGCTTGAGGTCATCAGGGCGCACCTTGAAGAAGTTGAGCAGGTGGGGGCAGCGGGAGATCTTGACGGGCAGCCCCATGAGGGCGCTGCAGTAGTCGGTGAGCGTGCCCTGACGGCTCTCTGCAGTCCGCTGGCCGTCATACCACCGGGGGGCTGCCGGGCAGAGGAGCCCCAAGACCCTCAGCACGAGGTCAGGTGATGGGCTGCAGGTGAGGGGGCCCAGACAAGGGACCTGCGCAGCCTGTGGCCCACCTCTTACCTGGCAGGTGGGGGATGATCCTGTTCTCTGGGTTGATATCCCCTGCCTCGATGGGGAACATTTCCTTCAGTACTTTCTAGATGTTAGAGAGGAAAAGACGGGAGGAATGCGCTGGCTGGCAGCACAGTGTTGGGATGACCTCCCGTTGCTCCGGCCAGAGAGCTCCCTGGCACCCTGATTCCTGTGTCGGTCACACCCCACAGTCAGGCCACCAGCAAACCCTTTGAGCTCCACTCCAGAAACCTAGGAGAGTCCACCCTCCTCACCATCGCCACCTCCGGGTGCAGGTCCCCGCCATGCCCTCCCAGGGCATGTGTGACAGCTGTGCCCCCCACATCCTCCCCACCTCACTTGTTAATCCTCAACCCAGCAGGTGCAGGGAGCTGTGAAGGCCAAGTCAGAACTACACAGAGTCCTCCCCGGCTCCCATGCCACCCATCGCGCCCTCAGGTGACGTGCCCACCCAGCTCTCTCCTGGTCTACTCTTACCTTGCCTTGTCCTCCAGCGTCTCCTGCTCCAGGGCCTTGGCACCTGCTGTGCCTTGCAGGGTGCTCCCTCCCTCTCCCCTCCTGCAAGTCTCTGCCACCCCGCTGCCCCGCTTCTCTGTGCATGAGCCACCTTCTCACCTACTGTGTCGATGCCATCGTTTCTGTGTGCTTCTCCGGCTCTCCACTGGGACTTAGAGTCCCAGGGCGGGCAAGAGCTCAGGCTGCTTTTTGTACCCTCCCCCACTTCAGCAGAGCCACCTGGAACAGGCCTGGCCCTGGGCAGGTGCCCAGTGAACCGCTGGTGACTGATGCAGGCGGCCACATGCTGATGCAGAGGGTGAGTCCGTTCTAGAGACGGAGTGGTCTCTAGAACCATTTAAGGAGGAGGGCGGAACCTTGCACCTCTAAGTGTGGACGGCACACAGAGAGGCACCTAGAGACCGAGAGCGAGTGAGGGCAGGAGCGCGTGAGAGTGTGTGTGTCTGTGAAGTTGTGGGTGTGTAGTGCGTTTCGTGAGTGTTCATGTGCTGAGCAGGAGTGTGAGCATGTGTGAGTGTGTGTGCGTGCGCGTGCATGGGTGCTGCATGAGGGTGCGTGGGAACATCCAGGGTGCAGGTGTTCGTGTCAGGGAGAATGTGAATGTGCACGAGTTGGGTGAGCACGAGTGTGAGCACATGTGTGCGTGTGTGTGCGTGTGGACACGTATGGCGTGTGTGTGTGTGTGGTCACTAGGAAGGGGGGAATGAAGGGAACTTGGGGCTTTTATGATGTTTGGTTTCCTTTCTTAACTAAAACCGCCCACCTGGGGCCCAGCTCGTGGGCTGTTGTGTGCCCTGCGGGTGCTGGAGGGCACGGCTGGCAGAGAGACGCAGGAGTGCACACAGTGCAGGGCCCCGCTCCTGCTCTGGGAGGTCTTGCTGTGGAGCTGGGTCTTTGGGGGACTCATGAGGCTTTTGTGGGCCATCGTCATGTCCCTGGTGACTCGCTGACAGTGAGTCGGAGGTGAGTCCGTCCTAGGAGGGGGCCCCTGGCTCCCAGGCCCACCCGCAAGCCCTGTCCTTGCAGCGTGGGTCTGGAGCGGCCGTGGGAGCCCGAGTGTGTGTGGCGGAGCAGAAAGCGCTCTGCTGTGGAGGGCTCCCCGTTTCTGCTTTGTTCTTCTGAGGGGTCTGAGGGGCTCAGCCTTCCAGTCTTTCAGTTAGCGGCCCAACGTGTTAGCCCTTGGTGCCCTCCAGAGGCTTCCAGAGCAAGAGACTCCTGGATGCCTGGCTTATCAGCTACTTCCTTTGAGACCCTTGGTGGCTCCCCTGGTTAAGCACCTGAGACACTGCGGAGGAAAGGGCTGGTGTCTCCTGCGGGTGGCCACGGAAGCCCTTTGGAGGAGTGGCATTCTGAGACACACACGCAGCACCGATTCCCCGCAACTGGTTTGAGTTGGGGCTTTGGGACTTTTAAACCCATCACCACTGCTCTGAGTCGATTCTGCCTCCCGACGACCCCACAGAGCGTTTCTAAGGCCATAAACCTTGACAGAAACAGACAGCCTCAACTTTCTCTTTGAACTGCCAACCTTGTGGGTCGCAGTCCCAGGCTCACCCGAGACAGCACCATCGGGGCTCCTTTTTTTTTTTTATTGGGAGCTCATACAGCTCTTATAACAATCTACCTATCCATCCATGGTGTCGAGCACATGTGTACATTGGTTGCCATCATCATTTCCAAAACATTTTCTGTCTACTTGCCCCCTTGGTATCAGCTCATTTTCCCCCTCCCTTCCCCATCCTCAAGAACCCTTGATAATTTATGTTATTATTATTTTCATATCTTACATCATCTGCTGTCTCCATTCACCCACTTTTCTGTTGTCCATCCCCGGTGTGTGTGTGTGTGTGTGTGTGTGTGTGTGTGTGTGTGTGTGTGTGTTATATCGATCATTTTGATTGGTTCCCCCTTTCTCCTCTGCCCTTCCCCTGCCCCTCCTGGTATTGCTACTCTCATGGTTGGTCCTGAGGGTTTATCTGTGCTGGATTCCCCGTATTGCAAGCTCTTATCTGTACCAGTGTACATGTTCTGGTCCAGCCGGATTTGTAAGGTAGAATTGGGGTCATGACAGTGGGGGCGGGAGGGGGAAGGAAGCATTAAAGAACTAGAGGAAAGCTGTGTGTTTCCTCGATGCTATACTGCACCCTCACTGACTCATCTCCTCCTTGTGACCCTTCTGTGAAGGGATGTCCAATTGTCTACAGATGGATTTTGGGTCTCCACTCCGAACTCCCCGTCATTCACATTGATATGATTGTTTTGTTCTGATGCCTGATCCCTGATCCCTTCGACAGCTCATGATCACACAGGCTGATGTGCTTCTTCCATGTGGGCTTTGTTGCTTCTCAGCTAGAGGGCCGCTTGTTTATCTTCAAGCCTTTAAGACCCTAGATGCTATATCTTTTGATAGCCAAGCACCATCGGCTTTCTTTTCCACATTTGCGTATGCACCCATTTTGCCTTCAGCGATCGTGTCAGGGAAGGTGAGCATCACAGAATGTGGGGCTCCTTTTTAATGCACTCACTCAAACCCAAACTCACTGCCATCGAGTCAATCCCGACTCCTAATGACCTGTACGAAAGAGTAGAACTGCCCCTGTGGGTTCTGAAGCCATGCATCTTTTGTGTTTTTTGGTAAGAGTTTCACATTCCATAATTGTGATTATTGAATGCATTTTGTTCCCATCTCCTCCCAGCATCCCCCACTCTCACGCCTCCTGTCCCCAGGCTTTGTTTGGGGGTCAGTGTTGGCCCTGAGTGGCTGCTTGTTCTGAAAGCCCGTTCCTGGGGGGAGGGGGTGTGTCACTTCATAAGCCAAAGACCCCACTTCCCTCGAGTCTACTCTGACTCACAGCGACCCTCTAGGACCAGGTAGAACCACCTCTGTGGGTTTATGAGGCTATTAACCCTTTACGGGAGTAGAAAGCCCCGTCTTTCTCCTGTGGAGCAGCTGGTGGTTTTGAACTGCTGGCCTTGAGGATAACGCATAACTACTCTGCCACCAGGGTTTCTTTACAAGTCTGTCCTTTGTTGCCTGGAAAGCCATCGTGGGGTGGGTTCAGTCCAGGTTTGAAGGGTGTCTGAGGGCCCTAATCTTGGCGTTTGCACCACTCTCTCAGTAAGTTTGGTCTTTTAAAATGATGTTCAATCTTGTGCCACAGTTGTCTCCCACTCTGTCCAGGACCATATATTGAGATCCCAATCGGTCACTCATGGTGATCATGTCCTGTCTGGCTCTTCTAGCCTCAGGCTAGTGACAGCTGTGGTGTGAATGGTCCATTTGTCCTTTGGGCTAATTATTTCCTGGAGTCCTTGAGAGACTGCAAATCTTTATGGGAGCAGAAAGCCTCATCTTTCTCCCATGGAGCAGCTGGTGGCTTTGAACTGTTGGCCTCTCGGTTCACAGCACAATGCTTAATCCACTATGCCACCAAGGCTGTGCTCACTCAAAACAAACTCACTGCCATCGAGTCATAGTGTCCTTATGATTCATAGTGTCCCTATTGGACAGGGTCGAACGGCCCCTCTGGGTTTCCAGGACCGGGTCTCTTTCGGGGAGTAGAAAGTCTCATCTTTCTCCCATGGAGCAGCTGGTGGGTTTGAACTGCTGGCTTTGCAGTTAGCAGGGCAACACATAATCCCTACACCAGCAGGGGTCCAGCCATACCCTCGGGCTGCTGAATAGGTCAGTGGCCATCAGTTAAAAACACAAGCTCGGAGGACAAAACCTTCCATGGGGACACTGGCTGGGCTGCCCTCTGCAGAAGAGTAGTTACCCCAAGACACCGGGAGCCCCTGGGCTGTGGACTGGGATGCCCTGCTGTCCTCCCCTTGGCCACTCACGTGGAACTCGTAGATCTCGGTAAAGCGCCGGTAGACCACCTTCTCCGACAGGTCCTGCCACTTCACCAGGAACATATACACCTAGAGAGGGCAGGTGTGGGGCGGAGTCTGCCTCTGTGAGCCACCCCACGCCCTGGGGACAGCCCACTGGATTGGCGGGAGCCGGGGGGTTGGGGGTCATCTGTCCCCAGCAGTGCAGTGGCCACCACATTTCATGGTGGGTTTCTCAGATCCTCAAATCTCCATTTGGGCAAGTTGGGGGTGGGGTATCGACCAGTGAATCACAGCACACACACAGACACACACACACACACAGGCTGAAGGGTGGGCACATATTTCGAGAGACCCTCCCCTCGGACCCTGCCTGTGCTTCAAGGACTGTCACATGAAAGCAGACACAGGAGGGCCGACCTCAGTCCTAGAACTCAGAGCGTCCAATCCCAGGTCAGGGAAAAGAGACACCATCCCATCTATCCGGCTGTCTCGAGCCGACGAAATAAACTCGGCGTGGAAAACATCACAGAGAGCACTGGGCTCCGAGGGGCAGCGGTGGGCTGGCCGGGTCACCGGGGAAACGTTCTGAGCGGGCAGTCACGGACTATGTCTCGATGGGCCAGCCCTGGCCAGCCCTGCACACCTGTCCTTCCCCAGGAAGCGGGTCCACTCTGACACTCTGACTCACAGCGACCCCCCGGACTGAGCAGATCTGAGCTGCGGGCTTCTGAGACCGCCTCGCTGGGGCGGGAGTCCACAGCCTCTCTCTCCCATGGGGCTTTCTAACCGCTGGCCTCAGAGTTAGGAGGCCTGGCATGTAACTCACAACACCCCCAGGCCTCCTCCCCTCTGGAAAGAGCCCATCTCGGTCGCAGTGAGTACAAGGACGACGCTCTAAACCTGAGGGCGGTGATGAGTGTGCAATCCTTTCCATGTGATTGAACTATGCTATAGGAAAGAAGGCAGGATCTATGAAAATAGCAACCGGATTCATCATTACTGGGGGGCCCGGAAGGGGAGGTGGAGGGATGGGGGGATGGGGAGGCAACCTCAATGGGCACCAGAAGGAAAATACCCCGAAGGTGACGGTGGTGATGATAGCTCACTGCTTCCTAAGAGGATCGAGCTATTGAGTTGCATGGTCTGCCTACTGCATCTCAACAAAACGGAATTATTATTAATTTGTAAAGGATCCCGTAGGAACAGTGGCATCCGCAGGACCAGTTTTATCGAAAGCAGAGACGTCAGTTGCGAGATGGTGGCACAGGTTGGGGGGCTCCCTTTGGGGACTTTTGAATAGATTTGCCCAAAGGTCGCAGGACAATCACAGTGGTTTACTAGGAGACGTTCCAAGATAACGGAAAACCCCACTGGGGAACAGAAGAGCAGGCCAGCTTAGATGTGCCAAGGTCGTCCCCATCATACCAACGCACCTGCTCCCTCTCCGAGGGTAACAGGGCTGTCTGACATGAGACTCTGGTTGGGACGCTGCACCCTATCCACCCCACAGCCCTGATCCCACCCCCCAGGCTTCCTTTTGCTCCCCAAATCCCAAGAACACGGAAAAGAGACGCAGTTTGAGCACCTCCTTGACCCCTGAGGGTGCCAGAACTTCCCTTTTGACGCGGTGCCCATGGAAGT